GCTGGTCGGCTGGGGCGGGGACTGGTCCCCCCCATCGTGTGTGCATCAGGCCGTGCCGCCTGAGGTAGAGTTTCATGTGGTACTTGATTCTTTTGTTGCGGGTTCTGTCTGCCCCTCCCCCCTCGTGTTTGCGTTGAGAGGGGCCGGGTGCCGCTGCTGTTGCTCGTCTTCTGCTGTTGGTGTTGTCCCCCCAGCCGCCCCCCTGGTCTTCCTCCTCTGCCGCCGCCTCTGCATCCCCCTGCTCATCCCCCCCTGGAGCCAATTCGCGGTCGATATAGCTTTGGGCGATTTCGCCCGTTGTCACCCACATGTAATGTTCTCTCATCGTCATCCCGGGGATGGCTTTCGTGCCGGGTGGCACTCTGGTCTCCTGGCGCGCTCCCCCCCCCGGGTTTGCGCTCGAACTGCTGGATGTTGTGGCTGCTGTGTCTTGCGGCGGGCCTCCCCCCGTTCCCTCTGCTGCGGGGCCTGCTGCGGCACTGCTGGGGTCTTGGTGTTGGGCTTGTGGGTCCGTGCTTGGGCCGGCCGAGCTGTGTGGTGGCGCTCCCCCTTGTGGTGGGGTGTCCTGGGAGGCTTGGGTTTCCCACGGTGGTGGGATCCACGGGGTCGTCGCTGCTGCTGCCGCTGTGGTGTTCTGTTGGGCCTGCGGTTGGGTCGCCCACGCTGCGAAGGTGGGGGGGCTGGTGGCTGCCGCCGGCCGGGTGCTGGTCAGTCGCAGTCGTAGTTGTGGGTCGTCTCGTGTTGGTGCTGGCTCTGTTGTTTGGCCTTCCGCTGGTGCGGTCGCTTGTGGCTGCTGCTGTGGCTGTGCTCTCCGTGGCTTCCTCGGCTGGGGTGTGCTCCCCCTTGTGTTCTGGGGGGTTCTCCCCGCTGCTGCGGTCGAGGCCGGCTGCTGGTGCTGTGCTCCCGCCGCGCTTCCTGCTGTTGCTGTGTGGGGACTGTGCCTCCTGGCGGTGGGTGTCCCATCCAGCCTGCTGAGCCGGGCACCGAAGGTGACGGTAGGACCAAATTCCCTTGGCTGTCGTACCAAGGGAAACCAAATCTGAGCGCCATCTCGCCTGCTGTCAGCTGCGCTGGTAGCGGTAGTGCTTGTTGTGGGTCCCCCTCTTGTTCGTGCCAAGGGTCCGTCTCCGGGTTGTAGGGGGGCGCAAAGTATCCCCCTCGCTCCATGTGGCGGCCAGGGTTCGGCGGGGTGCCCCGTCTGTGCTGGTATCTGCTGGCTGGTGCCCCATGCTGAGGTGGAAGCGCTTGACGTTGGCTGCGTGTGGGACGCTGCTGCGGCCATGGTGTGGGTGTGTCCCCCCGGTTGGGGTTGCGGCGGTGGCTGCTGGTGCGGGCCACCCGGTCCCCATCCTTGTTGGGGAGGTGTGTGCGGCATGTTTGCCGGCTGCGCTGCTGCTGCTGCTTGGCTGGAGGACGCGGCTCCCCACTGTTGAGCTGGCCGGCGGCCCTCTCCTTGCGCCCCGCCTTGGGGGTATTGTGCTTGTGCTGCCGTTGCTGTGGCACTTGAGTGGTGGCTACCTGCTTGGATAGGTCCTGCGTGAGATATTGGCTGGGCTTCCGTGTGCCCCGCTGCCGCTGCTAAGTGCTGGCCCATGCTTCCAGCATTCCCCCTAGCCTGCCTCGGTCTTGGCTGGCTTGCCCACTGGGCAGGGACCCTCCTGCCGCGTTGCTCGGTTGGCTTTCTCTCGGCGGGAGCGGGCCTGCCCCTGCGTTGGGAAGGTGTTCCCCCCTGCTTAGGCGCGCGGCTCGTGGCGACGCTCCTCTCGGTGTAGAGCTCCCCTGGTTCTCTCCCGGGCCCGGGCCTGGCTGTGCGGTGGCCGCCGGGAAGAGGGTGAGTACAGCCGTCAGCGCGGCAACGGCCACGCATAGGCAGGTTGCTCCCCCCATGGTAGCTGAGGAAGCGAAGCTGAGGTGCGGGCGCTTGGTCCAGTGCTTCGGCAAACGGCCGTACACTGATTCCCCCCCTTCTCGGGGTTTGGCTGCACTTCAGACTGCAAACGGACTGGCATGCTGAATTCTCCTGCTGCTGCACTCTCATGCTCGGGCAAAGCACATGTCATGGACTGTGGGCTTGCATGGTCTCTCTCTCAACTCTCTCATGTACGTGGTACGTGGTGCGTGGTGTGTTGCTGTCTGTTCTTTCCCCCCCCCGGGTGGGTGCCGGAGCTGTCACAGAATTGCTCATTCGCCCCTGAGCTCCCTCGGGTTGGCTCTGGCTGCACTGGTGTTGGGGTGTAAGTTGTCTTGAATGCTCCCCTGCCGTCCTGTGGCCCAAGGGACGTCGAAGCGCTCGACGAACTGTTGCTGTAAGGTTTGCCAGGTGTTGCGTTGTTGTGCTACCTCCCCCCAGGACGTCCCCGCAACTGCCTCAAGTGCTCTTTCGATGTCCCCCCCTGGATTAAACCGGCCTGCGTGCCGCACTCTGGTGCGTGCTGGCTTGCGTTGCTCGGCGCGCCAGAAGCGCAGGTCCTTCCAGTGGAGCATGTCCGTGACGGCTTCCCCCCCCCGCGCCATGTGCCCCCACAAGGTCCAAATGCGCTGGAGTATGTAGGTGGACCACCGCTGCATCCCCTCTCTGTGCATGTGTACTCGGGCTGTGCGTAGGGTGCGCACGTGCCACTCCCCCCAGCTCTCCGTGGCCCTCCTGTGTAGGTGCATCATTTCCCTATAGTGGGTGGCTTGCATGGTGTTGGCTGCCCGCAGCAAGTGTTGGTGGGCAGGCCATGTTTCCGCGGCATACAGGGCTGCCCCCCGGACCAAGCTCATGTGTGCTATGGTGCGGGGCTTGAGGCTCGTCCGCGCGGTCAGCGTTTTCTTGTGTTTGGAAAACGCCGCTCTCCCCCTCCGCGTCATCTCTGCAATGATGGCTGCCGTCTGGTCACCGAAGGTAAGAGGGGTGCCGAGTGCTGCGACAGTGCTGTCCGGTGGTTGGCTGTGGACGGTCTCCCCTTTGATGGTGAATGTGTCGGTGGTGCTTTGGCTGCATAAGACTGCTGTCTTCCCCGGGTGGATGTGCAAGCCGTCTCGTGCAAGCTCCCCTTCCAAAAACCCCAGAAGGGATTGCAAGTGCTGGCGGTTCTGGCTCCACAGATAGGTGTCGTCAAGGAAGGATCCCCCCGCCTTGGGGGGTGGGGGGCCCCCCTGCGGGTCTGGCGGTTGTGGGGGGGCCTTCTGGAGCGCTGCTTGGAGGTCCTTGGCAATGATGGCCCCGAATAGGTCGGGCGAGTCCGGCGAGCCTTGCCGGATACCGTTGGATTGGGGAACCGGGGTCAGGGTATCCCCCACCGCCACGTTGAGGGATCGCGTCTGGAGCAGGCTCAACCACAGGAGCGCTTCCCATGGTTGGCGGTCCCCCCCCGGAGGTGCTGGAAAGCGTGGTGATGGTATCCCCCCGACTCGAGCCGCCACAAGTTCGCTAAGGCTGTGTTGCCAAACGCTATCGAACGCTTTTCGTATGTCCAGCTTGACGATCCAGGTCTTCACCCCCCAGTCCTTTGCCATTTGCACGACGCGGCGGAGTATTGCCACTAGCTCCACTCCCTGCCTCCCCTTGCGCGCCCACTGCAGCCCTTCCCCCCCGTGTCTCACTTGTTCCCCCCCCGGAGCAGGAGTAGTTGAGCGGCCCACTTGAGAAAGGTGGAGCTGAGTGTGATGGGTCGGGTGTCCCCCCATGCCAGTGGTTTTGGGACCTTGGGCAGCAACACCGTGATGCCTTGTTCGATTCCTCCCGGAATCGCCCCCCGGTAAAGCATGTCGTTCAGGACTTCCCGGACTCTCTCCCCCCAAGCGGGGTCGAGGAGCAGGTGTTGCGCCGCCTCGTGGGATACGCCATCCGGCCCTGTGCTGCGGTTGCGGGCCCATTTGTGGGAAGTGTGCTGCAACTCCCCCATGGTGAAAGGAATCCAGGGTGTGTGCTTGCATTGGCGCCGGAGCGCCTCGCGGAGGGTCGCCCCCCTGGCTTGTGCTGCGGGCGGGACGGGCTTAGCAAAGATCCCCTCCATGTGCCTGCGGAGCTGGGTTTGCCACTCAGGATCGTCTGTGAGCTGAAGTTGCCACCCCCTATGGGTTTGTGTTTGCTGCAGGCTGCGAAGTGCTCTCCAGTCCAAGTGGGCGGCTCGCTCCGCTTGTGCTTGCTTCCACTGGCGGAACTCCTGTTTGCGGAGTCGGCTGACGGCCTTCCACAGTTGTCGTGCTTCCGCCCCTGCCGGAGCTTGTTGGGCTTGCTTGCGGTGTTGGACGAGCTGCTTGCTTTCCTTGAAGGTGTCGGCCCCCCCCCCGGGTATCGTGATGGCCTTGGCGATGGTGGCAAGGGTCTGGTGCGGGTCTTCCCCTCGGGGCGGGGGGACCTGTAGGAGAAGAGAGATCTGGTTCGCAGGCCGAAGCTTCCTGGGCCCCCACGTGGTGCGGGCTGCCCCGCCGCCCCGGTGGAACCCCAGTGGGATGGCGACCCCGTCATGGTCTGACGCTGCCCTGTCTTTGCGTGCCACGACCCTTCCTACTCCCGCCGTTCCCCCCCTGGTCGCCAGGTAGTCAAGGCGACGCGGCCGCATGCTTGGGTTGTAGGGGTGGTACGAAGGTGTGTGGAGGTCCTGTGGGGGAAGCCTGAGGTCCACTGACAGCAACCAGTCCAGCACCACTTCCCCCCGGCCTGTACACGCATAGCATCCCGGTCTGTCCCCCAGTGGTGGGCGAAAAGTCTCATTGGCATCCATCCCTAGCACTGCGGTGCGTCCCTGGAGTGTGTCCCCCCACTGCTGAAGAATAGCGGCTGTGTGTTGTATGGTGGCGTGGTGTGGTATGTGGCCGGAGAGGACTCGTATGTGGCGGTGCTCTACGACAACCGTGGTGGCGACCCCCCCTGGCATGACCACCGTGCGTTGGTGCTTGTATGTTGTGCGATGCGCCACCCCTTCCCCCCTGAACTCTCCCTCGCACTTGCCAAACACAATCTGCCAATGCTGCGATTCTGAGTGAAAGCTCCCGGCCGATGTGATGATTTCCTGAAGCATGATCACTTCCATGTGCTGCAGTTCGGTGCTCCCCCGGAAATGCTCGAGGACTTCCAGCACCTTATCTGCCGTCAAGCCTCCAACATTCCAAGTAAGCAGCTCAAAGGTATGCTGTGGCTGTTCCCCCCTTGAGGGGGTCGCGTGAAACATGTCAGCCGTGATGGGCTCCCCTCAGTTGATCTCCGCCTTAAGCGGGGACCACTTTTGCGCGACGGCTTCCTTGGTCGTCCTGAGTGCCTGTGCGATGGCCGCTAGGTCGACCCATCCGGGCCCCGCCTCTTCCGCCCCGGGCGCCTTGCTGGCCGTTGCGGAACAAATCTTGATGGACTGTCCCCCACGTGTGATCCAGGCCGTGCCGCTGCTGTACTCCATGTCGAGGCAGTCCTTGTCCCCTCCCATGCTCAGGTACAGGCGCTTGACTTTTGCCGCCAGTCGCGATCTGCGGCGCTTCTCTGGTGGTTGCGAGATAGCAATCCAGGCTCGCCGGATCCCCCCTTCGGGGCGCACTCCTAGTTGAACATTGGCGGCCCTCACTCGTGCGATGACATCTTGCACTCTTGCCCTTTTTGCTTCGGCTGTCTCCCCCGGCAGGTCGTCGATGGGCAAGATCGCGTACCCCCGCCGAATGCCAGGTACGAACATCTCATGGAGTTGGATGGGGGCCTCGACCGAACGTAGGATATCTTCAGCTGCCTGCTTAGTCTCACGTGCGTCCTGGTCGGGGCTCCATCCCCCGATGACGAGGGCTGGTCGTCTCCCCCCGTCGGAGAGTGGCGCCACTGAGCTCCCCGCTGTTGTGCTTCCCCCTCCGGCCTTCTCGAGATGTTCCAGGCGGTTTTGCACCTCGCGGTTGGCTTCCTGGAGTTGTTTGAGCATCTCCCCGTGGGCGTTGTACTTCCCCGTCATGTCCTCGAGCAGGTTGATGGTCTGCTGCATTTTTTGGGTCACCTGGTTCTCGACATGGTCCACGCGCCCCGCGAAGGAGCGTAGATCGTCACGCATGCCTCCCACAGCCGCCTGCACTTCCCCCCTGATGGCTTCTCTGATGGCGTCCAGCGAGAGCCCTGGGGCCGGTTGCTCCCCCGCGCGACGCTTCTGGGGAGAGCCTCCCTCGTGATCTGTCTGCATCTCCCCCGCCGGATTGGAAGAAGCGGCCATGGTTGGTGGGATGTGGGCAAAGAGAACTAGGTCCCTGACCTGCAAGTAGATATCACGATCGTGCCGTTGTAGGGCTGTGTCTCCCCCTCAGGTATTGCAGGGTCGCCCCGGCGTGGTAGTCCCGGAGTAGGCTCGCCGATCTCCTAGGGGTAACTGTTGGGGATGTCCCCCTGGGTCAGGAAATAGGCCGCCGATCCCCTGCTGGACCGTTCGTTACGATGTCGTCCCGGTGGACCCCCACGATGGACACAAGTTGTTCGGCGCTGGTGCCGTACAGCTCGATCGCCCCCTCACTCGGCGGCACACACTCTCTCTGTGGATCGGCGCGGTTGAGCCTCTCCCCCTCTGATCGCTCTCCCCCCGGGCTCGAGGCTTGAGCACTCACGGCTTGAGCCAAAATGGCTACTATTAGCTCTCTCTGTCTCTCTCTCTCTCTCTCTCTCTCTCTCTCTCTCTCTCGATCGGAACAGAGAACCCAACGGACACAGGCTTCTCAAGGCTCGCGAAAAAAAGGCATGCACTCCCCATACAGGATGCGCAACCTGGGAAAGCGCTTGTGAAATCTTTGGGCCATGCTGTAAGAGCGTATTTGAGGCGGGTCCTTCCAGGAAGGCGCATACCGAATTTCGACATGCAGAAATCTCGGTCGAAACTGCGGGGTCAGAAAGTTTCGCACGGCCTCGACCCTCGAAGCCAGGAAGCCAGCCGGATGGTGATGCACAAGAACACAGATGAGGAGCTACGAAATTCATCCCTAACCTAGCAAAGGGACCGAACAAACTTTCGCGAAACATAGATTGAGGTAGATCTGAATCTGAGCAGCACACCACCCAGCGATGAGAGGGCTGCGTCGTCATGGCGACCTGCGCCACATGCCTCAGGCTTCGGTTGCAAGGCAAACCATCCTCCGAGATTTCAGAGGTTCGTGGCCTGTTTTCCAGCTGCGGGCTGCCGGACACACTCGCTGCTGGGCTTCCTGGCGACGTGGTTCGCAGCATCAGGGGAAAAGTGCCGGAAACTGCGCGGCACTCAGGGCACCTCCCATCGCACCCTGGGCGGCCTGGGCCTGGGCCGGAAGCACGAGCCTGGACAAGGCTAAGGTCAGGTATGGTTTCAAGTTATCCAGGTTTTTCCGGCGAGACTCTGGCTGCCCCATGTGCAACTAAGTGGCCGTGGCACTGGTGATGCGGGCAGAGTGACTCCACACTGTGCCGCATGAAGAAAGGGAGCCGATGCTGTCAGGAGGTTTGGAGTGTGGACCGTTTGTGCCCTGGCTGCTTGTGCTGCTTCAGCGGCCGCTTGCGCAGCTTGAACCCCCTGTGCAGCTTGCATCTGGGCTGCTGCCTGGGCAGCCTGAGCAGCTTGCGCAGCCTGAGCAGCTTGCGCTGCCTGAGTAGCTTGCGCTGCCTGGGCTGCCTGGGCTGCTTGGACAGCTTGCGCCGCCTGCGCCGCTTGCGCTGCTTGCGCCGCCTGCGCTGCTTGCGCCGCCTGCGCCGCCTGGACCTCCTGAACCGCCTGCATCTGAGAGTGGGAATGGGAGTGAGGAGCTCCACAAGCCGCACTTGGGACGAAGCCCTGTCCGCCGTGCGCCGCCTCGGGTGAAAAGACTTGCGCTGCTGGGCTGTCGTGTGCCATTGAAATTGGCTCCGATGGAGGTGGCCCAGAAAGCAGCTCTGCCATTTGTTGCCTCAGCGAACAAGGACCCCAGGAACGGCTACTCGTGCAAGCACCAGCCCTCCATAAAACTGCAGCCAAGGTGCTCTTGATAGCCGTCGCTCATCGGCACGACAATCCCAGCATGAGAACTGGGGTTGGCTGCTCGCATGATCTTAGTGAGGCCAAGCCGGAGCTCATGCTTTGCGGCGAATGAATTCGTTCTGTGGGCAAGGCCGAAGGAATGGTGAGACTTTTTGGAGATGTTGGCTGTGGCGGGGGAGATCTTCCGCGATTCGCCCCACTCATGCACTGAGTTGCACCGCAGCCTCAGCACAAAGGACAAAGCCAGTGCAGCTGGTGCTTTTTCTGTCTCTGAATCTTCCTGCGGCCGAGCTGCAAGGGATTGGTGCGAAGGCAATGCCCTGCCGCACTGCAGGTGACGGGGTCCGCACTGGAGGGCTCAAGGAGCGGGCCTCGTGCGAGAGCGCTGACCCAGAACAGGCATGCTTCCGAGCTGAGACTGTCACGAAGCGATGTCCAAATGGCTTTGTCGGCGACTGCCTGCTTGGCCCAGCCCAGCTAGAGCAAACTGTTCTGCTGCCACATTCCTCAGCCCGTGGCGCAGGCCACACCATTCCTTGACATGATCGCTTTGGCAGGTGTCCACTCAAGGCAATTTGACACCGCAAGTCTGCAAAGGATCGGAACGGCGAAGTTGGTCGCAGATCAGGACTGGTCGGAGTCAGGAAACCAGCAGGCCTTGCATGCTGCAGTCTTTTATTGGGGCTCAGCACATCATGTATTGAAGGAGGCAGCATGGATCATCAACTGCTCAAGGAAGCTGCAGCTGCATCACATTTGGTGATGGTGCTCCGCCGGGCATGACCTGTAGCACTGTTGCTGCCACATTAGGGCGCAGCAAAGTGCAGCAGGTATCCGTATGACAACCGTAGTTTCCAAGCCAAGCTCTCGACATCTGGAGAAAGCCTGTGAGCAACTGGCTCGGAGATGAAATTCCTCAGCCCACGGCAACTAGTTTCTTGGCCACTAGGTCGCTCAAATTCCCTGAGCCCTGCACACGTCAGCCACAATACCTTCGCGCACGACAGTTACGACTTACTGATGAGGGTCTCGTCAAGACATTGGGGCCTTCCATCTGGCTGTCGCTTTCTACCAATCTGGTGCTTTTGTCCGATCTCGGCACCTGAGCAAAGCGCTCGCATGGGGTGTTTGCCGTCAGCATTGCTTGCGTGGCCTGATGGGCCTGCGAGTGACTCGCACAGCAAACCTGCTTCGCGAGCTGTGAGGGCAAGCCTCTATAAGCTCTGCAAGCAGACGCCTCCGGCCGTCAGCTTTCGCAAGCGCGTTGGCCCTGATCTCTGGAGCCAAAACAACGCTGCAAATGCACGACTCGCCTCAAACCGGGGCCAAGCGCGCACGTGGCCAAAACGCCGAAAACAAAAATAGAAATGCATCTTGTTTTGCCTTGGGGCAATTTGAGATCTGTCGCGCTGCTCTCACAGAGCCACCTTTCCTGCGAGGCACACGCATGCAGCGTGACATGCGCACCCGACTCGTGCAGCTAGGGTCTGTCGGCCTGAAACTTCCAAGCCGTCCCAACCTTGAAGCTTATTAGACGAGGCCTGAGACACGTGCAGCATTGTGGCTGACGGGGGGGGCCTTAAGGTAGGCTAGGCATGCTGTTCTGCCAAATGCAGAGGAAGCCTGGCAACCCCTTGTCACGCAAACTCTGGCTCTGCTTGCGACCCCTGCTGTCCAGGTCTCTTGTTAACATGGCAGTCCGCTGAATCTCTTTTGGAGTCACTGGTTCAACAAGTGCAGCTTGGGCTGGCGATCGAGATTGAGTCCGCAGTCGGCAGTCAGCATAGGATGCAAGCTCGAGTATAGGGGAGCTGCTCTGCGGCTGAGACAAATGTGAGACAAAATCACTGACAGTGTTTGTTAACTGATGACCTCATTGAAGCCACGTGGTTCGTGCCAGAGGACATCCAAGCTGTTGCTGATGCTGTTACTGTTGTCAGCACTGGTGAGTTGGTGCTGTTGGTGTTCCCTTCTGTCACTTGTCACTGCAAGGTCAATAAGCGATGACTATGGGGTCATTGTACTTCGAGTTCCGTGAAATCTCTGAGACTCATCACACATGGCACCCGAAAGCAAACGTCAAAAACACACTGCAATCGAATTACACATCTCTGAGGTAGGCTAGGTTGGCTTCACTCGAGAAAGCTGCATGCTCGGCAGCTGCATGTCTTGGGGTGCAAAGTTCTGCTGCCAGGTGTGTGCACATGTCCTGCCCTGAAGGTGAATGCCTTGCAGAAATGGATACAATTGGTGTTGGGTGACTTCCCTTGCCCGTAGATGTGAAGCCGACCACTGAAAGAGGCAATGGAACAAACCTTCAAAACAACAACGCATCCGAAAAAAGGACACAGCAAGAGCAGTAGCAGCAGCAGCAGCAGCAGCAGCAGCAGAGACCCGGAAAGTCGGGCACGCCACCAACCAGCTACCCTTCAGATTGGGTCCTGCATCGCCCGTGATCGTGCACCTAAAGGGCGCATAAGCTTCAGCATACCGGAGAGGTCAGCCGGCAAAGGACCTTGCAAGAGAATGCGACAACACGAAAAGTCTCGGGCTCGGCACCTGCACACTCAGAAGCCCACAGAAGCCACTGATCAGGTTGCCTTCGACCACCAGCCCTGCAAAATGTATGTCTTCGCTTTCTGTGCAGGCACTACGGCCTCCTCAAAATCTTGGAGTAGATTCTTTTCTTCTCTAGGGCACATGGACCCGATCAAAGGCGCCCAAGGGGCCCTTGGAGTTTTAGAGGGTTTGCAGGCAGTATTTCGCAAGGGTAAAGGAAAGGGTGCACAACCCTTTTCCAGGCACTGCAGGCTGCCCCCATATGTTCGCTACACGTCACTTCACTCAAGGGGTCTAGAGGAAAGGTGCGCCCCTGTTGTCGGGCGTTGCAGGGAGGTGTGAAAGCAGAGTGGCTCTGAAAAAGATATGGCTCCTCCGCCGAATGAAAAAGATACCATTGCAAGGTCTAAGGTATCAAATCCACATAACACCTAACACCTACAATCACAGCATCTGGTTCCCCCTATCTTTGAAGCCTCCTTACTGAAGTTCTGGCCACCTCTTCTCTCACATTGCCTTCAATTTTCAAGTCACCGTGTTCAAACAAGTACGGCAGCCTAGATTTATAAGACAAGTAGTCACTGACAACACTGTAAGAAGTAGTGGTCGCTCCGTTCATCCCCCGCATGTCCCCGTAAGTGTGAAGAATCAGAAACAGCCAAACACCAAAACATCGAGACATTAGCACAGTCACACAGCTTCAGAGGACATTGCGGTTCGGAGTGCGACCTGGCTGTATGTTCGACATAGAGAGCGAAGGGGTGAGAAGTCCATCTTGCACCAGGTTGTTGGCAATGGGGATTCCCCCGCCTTCATGCAGGCCAAAGTTTCTGGAGAGGGTTGCCGAAATCGTGAGTGAGTGAGTGAGTGAGTGACTGAGTGAGTGAGTTAGTGTGTGAGTGAGTAAGCGGCACCTGATGAGACAGGGCCATGCCTCAGGCGCCATCCCTCCCGGCTTCACAGGGGGCTCCGAAGCCGTCATCGCCCCCTCCACTTTGGAGATCAGACTGGCAGAGCGCCCCAGGCTCCGAAAACGTCATTGCCTGGCAGGGGACAGGGAGAGAAGACGACAGAAAGGAGACAGGGAGGACAGGAGACAGCGACTAGTGGCTCGCAAATACAGCAAACAGCAGTGCCGCCGCCGACCTTTTAGTCTCGCAGCGAGCATCCTTGGTTCAGTGCCTGAATGCGGCCTGCTCGCAGCATGGACTGCACTGCGCTGTCGACGGTGCGATCGGAAAGATCTCTGTCGACGTCCCGCCGCAGCTGCTGGAGGTGGAGGAAGTTACTGCAGTGAGATGCCGGGCGAGCGCCTGATGTGACGGATGGCCCATCGGCGTACTCTCCGCAGCGAAATGGGTTCTGGATCGGCGGGCGCAAAGGAGCCGGCCCCTGGCTGGCACAGGAGAGCAAGGGGTCAAGGGCCAAAGAAGTGCAGTGGACATCAAGGCAGCTTGTGACAGAAACATGGAAGAGGAAGGTTTTAGGGGGCAGTGGTGTGGGTTGGTCTGCATCTGGCGCGCCAGAGATCGTATGCGGCCAAATCATACGAGCTGCACTCCTGAGCCTACCGCTGGCAAGCGGTCCCACACACAGCTTTGGGGGGTTGCCGAAATCGTCTTTGAGGAGGTCGAGGAGATCCGAGTGCATCTGAACTTGCTGCTCCGTCCAGCTTTCAAAGTGGGCCGCCACTTGCTCTAAAAGGACAGAGAAGTAGTGCCGCAGAGGGCCATCTCGAAGAGAGTGCGTAGACCCGTGCAAGCTTCCAGCAAGTTCCTCCAGTCAACGGAAGTGGTGGCTCCTTGCAACCCCGAAGACCGCTCCCGAGCACCCGAAAGGCACGGCGGACGACTTAAGCCAAAATGGCTAGTCTCGCTCTCTCTCTCTCTCTCTCTCTCTGTCTCTTCTTCCACACAGTCAAGGAAACAGCGAGCAAACCTCTCTTGCTTGCTTGCTTGCGCGCCGTTTGGGGAATGACGTTCCCCTCACGCCCCTGCGCTCTCGCGCTACGGCTGTGTCTGTAGTCCGGTGGTCGGCGTGAAACTGCCGAAGGAGTCAGCACTACAGAGGAAAGCAGATACCAGCTCCTAAAGGCAGTCCCCGTTGCTCTTAAAGGCAGTCCCCGCTGCTAGCCCCGCCTGGTCGAAGACTTCTGTGCCGACCCCCTCTCTGTGCTGTGGTTTTCAGCCCCCGTCCTTGCGGGGTGTCCCCAGCTTCTTGAGGATCCCCTCTGGCCGGTACAACAAAAACACTGGAAGTAAGGCACTGCGAACACAGGGACATGGGCACGTCGCCCACCTTGGATCCTCACTCCTACTGCTTTTGGTTTGTGGACTAGTTGTTGTTACATGTTGGCACGGGTCCCCTGTGGGAAGCATGCTCAGGGGAAGGCACACAGTAGGGGAACACAAACACGCTTGGGAGGGCCCCCGTGCCAGTGGAAGTGCGTTTGCTCTCTCTCTCTCTCTCTCTCTCTTGCTTGCTTGCTTGCTTGCTTGCTTGCTGGGGGTTTGGGGTCAAGGACCCCCGGCCCGAGGGCCAACCCCTCAACGGCGCGCGACTGTTCTGTCTTGACTACCCCGTGTTGGGGTTTTGCAGCTGTGTTCCCGCCAGGTGGGCACACTTACCCCCCCCTAAAAAACACCTCTCCTAAGACCATGACCAAGTGGTAGACCCCACGATGTGTGCTCCTCCTGGGTCATCCACAGTGCAGTCTACGTTGATCCCTCAACTGAGCTCCACTCTGTGAGGGATGCGGGGTGTGCCAGCCAAACGAAACAACAACATTCAGCACCAATAGATGACATAGTCAAGCGTTCAGTTACCTTTCTGGCTCCCCCACGCACATGGACTCTACCGGATTAAACCAGCCTACCTGCCTCCCGACCTCATCCCGAACAGAACCTCGCAGTACGGCAGCACTACCTGTCACCTTCCCACCCCCGAAGCCTCTACTTTCTCTGGGAGGTTTGTCTGTATTCCGTGTTTGTTGACTCAGTCGACAGGGGGCTACACAACCGCGGCAAACAGCATCATGATCACAGCGATTAAGGCAAAAACAGCACTAACTAGTTGGTTGGCCCCCTGCCTTCGTTCATGGGGCACAGTCCCCTTGTGATTGTGCGAACTTCCACTCCCAGCTATGGCCTCTTGTCCCCCGTTCGGGGGTTGCAACACATCCACCGTAGACACCAACTCTGCAAAAAGACTTGATAACTTCCAGGGCAAGATGCCGTAAGCTGCGTTTCCCTCACCCTCGCTCGCTGACATTGTGAACAGGAAGCCCCCAGTACAGGGTAGCCATACAGACAGCCCCCAGTGCAAGCTAGCCTTAGTCATCGTTGTCGAGCGAGCTTGGGCTTGTGAAGGCACGTCTTCTGCGGCCCCTGGGCTCACTTGGGAATGTTTTGTGGGCCCCCTCAGGTCTCGGTGCGGCTGATCGTGTAAAGGGAGCAGTCGAACTGGCCGCCCCACTCGTCAAGTCCACGAGCGTCT